TCAGTTAAACCTAAATTGAATAACTCTGCGCGCTGAAAAGACCGAACACGCAAGAGACCTTCATCCGCCACTGGATACCTTCCTTGGGCCATGTGTGCGGACCTTACAAGTACATGTACAGTAAATGAATGTACTTTCCAGAAGGCCAACAATTCATTAAAAATGTTTTTTTTTATTGGTCTTATGGAGTATTCTAATTTGTTGAGATAGTGAGTTGGTGGGTTTTTGTTAAATGTGAGCCAAAATCATCACAATTAAAAGAACCAAAGACTTAAACTACTTCAGTCTGTGTGCATTGAATTTATTTAATACACGAGTTTCACAATTTGAGTTGAATTACTGAAATAAATGAACTTTTCCACGACATTCTAATTTATTGAGATGCACCTGTAGACATCTCAACTCCACCTGTACAACTCCTTTTAACATCTGATTCCTTTCCCGCTGTCTAATGGGAGGGGGTTATTTCTTTTATTACTTAAAAAAAAAATGTTCTTTTGTGCATTGATTTTAAGCAGCTCCTTCCAATTAGTTGCTGCTCTCAGAAGCGGTAGTAGTCACCCAGAGGAGAGTGACAGACCCAGGCTGAAGGAACAAAAAAAAAGCTTTGATTAGAAAACTGAGCAAATTCGCACAGTCCTCTGTGAAGCCTGTCTATTGTGACAACCTCACAGTTTCCATACCAGATTATTGGGTATTTCACTGAGCCTGTACTAATTGACAAAATTATTCACTGGAATTAAAAACGCTGTGCACCGCATTTGGCTGATCTTTCAACAGTTAAGTGTGCAGAGATCAATTCCCACTTGGCTTTGGGTGTTTTTTGTTGGCTCCAGGTTTCTAATAATTCCTCGTTTAATGGATTGCTTTGATATTCTGTCACTCTTTCGTTTGATAGGATTTTATGGAATGTTCCAAGGCCTCTTATTTGTCACAGGCAGAGCTTAGATGACTTGGGTACGTCAAATATGTTGTGATCAGAGGTTTTCAAGGACGTGTTTGGCGTCATTCAACATAAGCACAAGATGGGGAAGTGACACACATTTCCAGAATCAAGCATGTCTTGGTGTTGAAATCAAAGAATTACTGTCACTGATTAAAAAATAAGAAAAAATACAATTTAATTGTAATTTTTATAAAGCTAAACAATACTTTTCCATTTTTATCAATAATAGATGTTTGTCTAATTTATATAAAGAAAAAAACTAATGATTTAACCCCTAATTTATCATGAGAAGAAAGACCTATGCAAAATTTGGAATCTTATTTTTTCTTCCTAATTTACCTTGTTTAAAGGACAATGCGAAGAACAGTACATTTTTTATTCTTTTTTTTTTATACATTTTTATTAAGCAAGGATATGTTAAATTGATAAAGAGTGATAGTAAAGACTTAAATTGTTTTTAAAAAACTATTTTGAATAAATGCTGTTTTTTTTTACACTATTCATCAGAGAACCTTGAAAGAAGTAAGTTTCCAACACTGATAATAATAGATCAGCATTATGGAAAAAGACACTCTTTATGAGGTTATTTATTTATAAATCAAACTCACATGAGACGTTTGGCAAAAGTATGTCATTTACAATTTTTTTTTAAGATGCAATGTAATCATCATCAAAGCTCAACACAACGAAATACCACAGTATGACAATAAAGTGTGGGGAAAGTTGTTTTGGTATTTATTGCAGATTTGCATTGAGTTATGTGTGTGCATTTCAGTTCTATTCGTGTACAAAAACTGAATGTGTTAATTTACCAAAAACAAAAAAAAGACCAGACAAGACAAAGATGCTAATTAAGAACTGGATTTATTTATTTATTTGTCTTTTTTAGAGGTGTTAATTCTTTGTTTGGAGTTCTCTTTCACGGCCACCTTAATTGTTTTTTTTTTTTATATTTTATCTTTTTTTTTAATAACTGCATTAACACAAGTCCAAGTTTGAATACATATAAAGACACCTTCATTAAGCTTTATTTTGGAGCAAAAAGCAGGCTGTTCTTATGTACACAAGTGTAGGTAGGCATTGTAATGCATAAGCTGAAAGGGGAATTTAGTATCTAAGGGTTGCCATGGTGACCGGTGAGCATCAGTTCCACAACTATCTGAAACTCAGCAGCTAAAAGCTCTCTCAGACACAAATGCACACCGTTTAGGTCCCTGCGTACCCCATAACTAACTATTCTTCTTGGCCCTGTCATCAAGACCCTGTTTGTTTTGTTGTGCTGTCAGTCATACATGAGACAGCCTCTAATGCACTGCATCCGGATTACTGTGTTTTGCAGAGACAAAGTCGGCCTGCACTTTCAACGGAGTGGAGTACCATGACGGGGACATGTTCAGGATGGATGCCTGTCGCTTCTGCCGCTGTCAGGGCGGGGTGTCCGTGTGCTTTACGGCCCAGTGCGGCGTCCTCCACTGCGAACGCTACTACGTCCCTGACGGAGAGTGTTGTCCTGTCTGTGAAGGTTAGATGACCCTTGCAGTAGCTGTGGAAAGACAAAATATTCCTGTTCTTCATAAACCTCCAAATGATATCAAGCTGTCTTTAGCGTTAGCCTTGTGCCTTAGGGCCTGTTTTGCATTTGCTCTTGATGTTCTGCCTGTAATTGAGGTGATTTTTGTGAATTTTAATGAACAGTGTCATCCAGGTTCAAAACTAGATTCTGAAGCAATTATGGCGTGACTAGTTTTTTAACTTCTCCGAGGATATTGTGCATTTTACATTACATGATGGGGAAGATTCTGTAGATTGGACGATAAGTTTGCGGTATAAATCATTTGTGTGCTTGCATTCTCCCAATTCAGTGAGCATCCAAGGCTAATTAGTTCAGGGAAACTGTTCATTGTTTTATTTTGTAGACAACCTGTAATAGGCTGCCAGGGAGCATGTAATTTCGATTGCTATGCTTCTCTTGTGGGTAGGTTTTGTTGTCCAGTACATTACTGCTTGGAATTACCATGCTACATTTTCTGCTCATGTTATATTTATCAGATTGTGGTCATGTTGAAATTAGCTTGCGAATGATTTTGCTGTTATGTAGTTAATTAAAAAGAAACTCCCTCAGTCCCCTGTAGCTTTCCTCCTGAGAGTTTACTGCCATGAATTAAACAAATGCATTCGGCCAACTAAAGATAGACGGCAGTAACACAGTAAATGTAAGCCAGTATGACTCCGTATGCTGACTCATAGGCAGTCTTGGCTTATGAAGGAGGTAAATCATTTTAATCTTAGACCAGTGGTTCTCAACCTTTTTGGGGCTCCCACTGTCCACAACCATATTCAATGACATTTCTAGTTGTTCATGATGTACTGGATAAGAGTTTTTTTTAATTTTTTTTTTACACACAATTTCTACCTGATGAAATCGTTTAGACTTTGGCATAACTAGAAAAATGGAGTTGTACAATTGTATTAATTTACATGACTTTCCAGTTCTAGAAACCACAATTTCACAATTAGACTTCACTATATATACATGTTTTCCAGGTATGTGGGAATCCTCATTTGTGACCCTGGACCACAAAACCAATCATAAGGGTCCATTTTTCGAAATTGAGATTTATACATCCTCTGAAAGCTGAAGAAATAAAATTCCATTGATCCATTGATTTGTTAGGATAGGACAATATTTGGCCGAGATGCAACTATTTGAAAATCTGGAATCTGTGCAAAAAAATCTAAATATTGAGAAAATTGCCTTTAAAGTTGTCCAAATGAAGTTCTTAGCAATGCATATTACTAATCAAAAATTAAGTTTTAATATATTTACAGTATGAAATGTACAAAATATCTTCATGGAACATGATCTTTACTTAATATCCTAATGATTTTTGGCATAAAAGAAAAATCAATAATTTTGACCCATACAATGTATTTTTGGCTATTGCTACAAATATACCCATGCGACTTAAGACTGGTTTTGTGCTCCAGGGTCACATTTTTCAATGAAAACGGTTTTTGAGAAGATTAATTAAAATATGAAATATGCTGAATTTGGTTTGCACTTATTTTAATGTTTGTTTTGTCTTATATCAAATTATTTTAAATCATTTTGGGGCCCCCATTGTAAGCTTCCTGAAGCCACCTAGTGGGCACCAGCCTCCGATTGAGAACCACTAATCTGAGGTCACATTAGTGAATTTTCACAGGTAAAAAAGGTACATTGTAGCGCAGCTCTACAAAGAAGTCACTTTCAAATCAAGCAGCTTTCTATTGGTCAATATGGAATGTACGTGATAAACTGAAAAAAATATATATGTGGAAAAAATCTTTCGACTTCAAGTGAAATTCAGTATTGAGCAAATTCCAATTGAAATTACGATCTGTAAGGGGCCATTATCTGCTCCAAACTTGTCCAAGCTGATCATTAAATGGACTAAGCTGGTCATTAGCTAGTCTATGCTGGGTATTAGCTAGTCCAGGCTAGTCATTAGTTGGTCCAAATTGGTCGAAGCTGGTCATTAGCTGGTCCAAATTAGTTATTTGTTGACCTAAATTGGTCATTAGCTGGTCCAAGCTGATAATTAGCTGGTGCAAACTTGTAGACCATCTTGAACCAGCAACAAGCCAGCCACCAGTTGTACAAACTTAAGGTGCTCAGAAACCATCTGCTATGTTCTAAAACAGCTTAAACCAGGGGTTCTCACCTCTGGCCCTCGAGGTCCACTTTCCTGCAGAGTTTAGCTCCAACCCTAATCAAACACACCTGAACAAGCTAATCAAGGTCTTCAGGATTACTAGAAAGTTACTGGCATGTGAGTTTGATCAAGGTTGGAGCTAAACTCTGCCGGAAAGTGGACCTCAAGGTGCCAGAGTTGAGAAGCCCTGGCTTAAACTGACTCTTCAAGCAGGGTACATTTTGCAGGATGTCAGTACTGATGTGTGGCAGCTATTATCATCATCATGTCTTTCTGTTCTCCTAACTCCTTCCATATAGACCCCATCTACCCAGTGCTCAATTTAGCCGGCTGCTATGTGAATGGGCAGATCCTGGCACACGGAGACCATTGGCGTGAGGATGACTGTACCTTCTGCCAGTGTGTGAGTGGAGAGGCCCGCTGTGTGGCAGCTGCCTGCGGCCACAGCTGTCTCAATCCTGTCACTGTGCCCGGAGAGTGTTGCCCTGTGTGTGAGGGTAAGAACAGATGCACTTTATGGATGCGGGTTGGAATTGTATTGGGTTGAGCGTATCATTCTTGGACATAAACACACTCTATGCAAGCACATGAACACAAATGTTTATGGTTTATGTGTAGTTATGATATGTGTCAGATCGCAATCATAACAGTTTTAGTATGCATCGCAATTTCAGCATCACACAAAATGATGAAAAACATGAATCAGCTACTGTCATGGCAAAGCTACAGTTGGTCTTGCTGAGCAAAATGACATGTTTCATTCATGTTATTTTTACAAAAGCAGACATTTTTACATAGCTATTGTGATATGATATGACATGACATGATATGAGATTTCATAGTGACTAAGGCTAGTTATCCATACACAGGGCAGTATTCATTTTGTAATTACCAGATAACAACCTGGACATTCCACTCTGACCTGTTCTTGTCCTCAGACTTATAGAATTATCAGTTTCTATGGCAACACTATTAACAGCAAAATACATTTCTGTTATTGACCCTTCTCCGGGAGTTTGATTGACAGGCGATCTGACCAATCATAACGCCAAATCTGCCATTTTGTCCGACAAACAAACCAGACAGGAGAGTAGATTAACATCAGTGGACTTGAACTTGAAAAATGATGTGTATTGACGTCTTTCCGTGGTTGAAACAAGATACCTTCTGATGTTCATTCATGTTTATTTCATGCTATAACTAGTAAAGAGGAAGAGATTATCAGTTCACGTCCCGCTTAAACTGAGGTCGCAAAATGCTATTTATTGTTTGAATTTATAAAAAAATGACAAAGTTTGAAAGTTGAGACTTTGTTTCATAGCTAAAGTAACCTGCTCTGTCTTGTCTGTCGGCACGTTGTCAGTTTCCTCTTTGCTACGTGATGTATTTTTCACTGTGTGAGAACATGATGTGTGGCGTGAGAGCGCCATGGCTCATCGGATGTAGCAACAGTAACTAAAGGGGGCGGGTCTTTGCAAAGGGTCAATTGGAGTAAAATATAACAACTCCAATATAAAACTCCCAAAACCACAATATAACAAGTAACAGTCGTTATGCAAATGCTTTATTCATAAATGAGCTTTTTAGCAGGACGTTAGACATTAGTCACCCAAATCTGTGATAACTACATTAAACTGTATTTTTTTTTACAGATGAATCTTGCATTTCTAAGGCATTAACAATAGTCAATTATAAGAATTATTAAACAGAAATATTACAAGATAAAAGAATGTTACTACTTTTTACTGTTGAGGCCAGCTCTATTTTCTGTGTGACGTTGCAGAAGTCAAATAGGAGCTCTCAGAAACTGTTAGTTTACAAGTGGTGATTATGAGCTCTACAAGGACATAAATGCTTTTTACAAGACAGAATTTTGTTATTGCTGTAATATCAACATGGCATGAATGCAGTTGCTAGGTCGTTCTGGGTGTTCGCTAGAGTGTTGTACTGTAGGTGGTCAGTAGATTGCTAAATTGTTGCTTACTGGCTTCAAGTGGTCTCTGTGATATTCTGGCCACTAGATATGGTTTGAGTCCTTTCAATGTGATTTTTTTTACACCCAATTACACAACCAGGTGATGGGGTCAAAGAACAGATCCTTAACGCTAAATATGAGCATTAATTCAGTGTTGTAGTCAAAACCAGCTCATTCAAGTCCAAGTCCAGGCTGAGACTTGAGTAGGTTGAGTTTGATTCAAGATCGAGTCCAAATGCTTCCGAGTTCAAATGGCATATTTTACATGAACTTGATGTCTTGTGGACTTACGATGGCTGATGCATAATCAGCTAATCAGTGTCTTCAGGCTGACTAGAAACATCCAGGCAAGAGTGTTAGAGCTGGTTGGAGCTAAACTCTGCAGGACGTTGGCCCTCCAGGAACATGCTTGGACACCGTAGGGTCTCCCATTCATCATTTTCGGTTTCAGAAGGGTGCTCATGTGTGCCCCCTTTTTAGCCACTATGCTCCCTCAGTGTGCACTTCGGCAGATCGGAGTAGAGTTCCACAGCAGACTTCTACCCTATAGTCAAAGCGACATTATATCACAAAAGTGTGCAATCATAAGATGGCCACAAGTGGCTTAAGGTGCCATTTGGGACAGGGCCTAAATATGCATTTATTTGTCTACAAAGTGATGAGGACATCACAGTGACTTATTTAATGAAACTAATCACCATCAGACTAAAATAAACTGGAATTCTCAAGACTGGTATCTATGTGAGTGAGTAAATGCTTTCTTTCTCCGTTTCCTCTCAATGTTCTCTAGCACTCAGAGTTTTTTTTTGAGTTTCCATTCCAGTCACATACTCGGTGTGAATAATCTACTAGACTGAGAGCAATGCAGGCAGTTGCTTACCTGGATCCCCCAGCAACCCACTTCCAGCACAACCCAAACATCTCCATCGCCTCAAATCTCAGGTCTATCGTGTCGTGTCTCCTTTACTGTCATGCAATGCTGCACCAAAACCCTTCCTGTGGATTTCCCTCCATTAGACCTTGCTCCCTACCCTCCCCAGCGGTGGAATATCATATCCCGCCTTCCAGTGTATTTTTCATATTGCTCACAGATCTGTAGCGGTTACCCCTGGGACTTCCACTCCCACTGCAGTTGGCTGGGTTTCCCCCTCCATGTTTGTTGCGAGGGAGAGCTTCACATCGTTTTGTATCTCATCATAAGTTTGATTAAGCACCGTGAGGTACGGACGTGCACCTCGGTATGCAAGGGCATGGACTACATTCTTGTAGAGAGGGTTTCAGCGAGTGATAGATGAGTGGCAGGTATGTCGGATAATGAATTTCTCCCAGGACTGGCTGTGTGTAGACCGATGACATCATCCTTTTGAAAAGAGCTGGAGAATATAGATTTTCGCACGTCGCTGCTTGCCGTCTAGATTTTTAAATCACAAAAGCAACATGATGTTTTTTTTCTCTCTTCCTGTTACTTGTAGTCTCAGGATCGCCGGGAATGGAAAGCTTGTTCAGAGCGATTAACAATCTTATCAGGCCATCCTAAATGCCAGACTGACAATATGTGTGGAGGAGGATATGAAAAATAGTACTAAAAAAACCACCCTTTTTTGTGGCTGTGGAGGCGAGGCTCCACCAACTGTCGTGTTGGTTATGATCAATGCTGTTCCAGTGGAATTGAGTCACAGTGGGGGTAATAGGATTCCTGTCTGTCTCATCTACCTTCTGCACCTTCACCCTCCTTCCAATTAGAGATCCAAGCAAATGAAGCATCCTTCTCTTGCTCCGACTCAGTATATAGAGGGAAAACAACGTCTGGAGTGCTTTGTCTCATAGTGGTGCTTGATAATAGTGAAGGCAAGCATTACTATTACTATGGCTCACACACAGGGTTAGGGATGTTAACAAATGTTCTACGGACATGAGTGATACCTCAAATTGTTGCTTCTTGAGAAGCAGCTTCTAAGCAGTCTGACTTGCGATTTTCACATGGTGTATGATAAATCTTTCCAAAAAATCAGAAAGACTTTGCATTGAATGTGATTTAAAGCTTGACTGCTGTCAACATTATCTACTAATGTAGGATGGTCATTTATGATATATACAGTGTGACGATATAAATAAAATTGTTTGTGCGGCAGGCTGAAATATGTCTCAAATAAGACAAGTGTTACATTCTAAATGATGTACACTATGTACTATTGTCTTAAATGGAGCATTTAACGTTAACATTTTTAACTACACAGAAACATTTGCCATTCATTTAAGTTTAAAAAAGGCATTTCAAATGCAGTGTGTTGTCGTTAGCTTTAGCATGTTCAGCTTTGCACGGTTTGCCTCCATCAATTTTTAAATAGATAAAAAATAATAATCAAATGTGATGACATGCAATTTGTAGAGTATTTAATTATCCAATAAATAGGCCTTAACACATTATTTAATATATCCAACCAAAAAAAATGGTAACACTTTACAATAAGGTTCATTAGTTAACATTAGTTAACTACTTTAGTTAACATGAACTAAGCATGAACAATACTTCTACAGCATTTATTAATCTTAGCTAATGTTAATTTCAACATTTACTAATGCATTATTAAAATCAAAAGTTGTGCTTTTTATCATTAGTTAATGCACTGTGAATTAACATGAACTAACAATGAACAACTGTATTTGCATTAACTAACATTAACAAAGATGAATAAATACTGTATTAAATGTATTGTTAGTTAATACATTAACAAATGGAACCTTATTGTAAAGTGTTACCAAAAAGCTAACTATAATATAATATAATATAATATAATATAATATAATATAATATAATATAATATAATATAATATAATATAATATAATATAATATTTATTTATTTCAATCTAATATCACAGCATAAGTTATTTTATAAAATGGTGACCGTATATAATAATAATAATAATAATAATAAGTATTAGTAAATAATAAGATTATGCACACACAGTGATATAAAATGTTGATACTGCCTCCCTCTATAATAGTAATAATTATTATTTTTATAATAATAGTAATAATAATAGTTGTTGTTTTGTTGTTAGTAGTAGTAGTATTTGTATTAGCAACTTAGCAACTACTTCACAACACCCTATCATTGTGAGGTGAGTTTTGCGAGTTTGTGTCAAACAAAAAAAGTTTTGCGGTGCACCTAAATCAGAATGCAAAGAGTCTGATTAGTAGCCCGTAAAACTTGAGGTTGTTTGAGCTAGTTGAGGTCGTGAGGGAGAGAGGAGAAGAGAGCAGTGGATTGACAGAGAGTGACAGCAGCATGTCTGCAGACCTGCACAGAGCAGCAAGCTCACATTCACCCCTTTTCAATTAATCTTTCATACACCTTTCGGCCTGTGAAGCAATTAGAGGTTTAGATGGGTCTGCCTGAGCATGGAGAGCACTCACTTCAGTATGGAGGTGAAGTGAGGGGGTAGTGCACTATGGCTTTCCATACAAAGTTCTATACACACAATACCACTGCTGCATCGCAAACCACATCTCAAATACA